CAGAAGCACTCCAGCTACTGCACCACAGGCTGCTGCAAAGATCTAACTGCATGGGCTTGTTTCTCTGAATACTGCCTTCCTCTCTCGCAGAATCCGTCCATGAGTAAGGCTACTACTTTTCCACACTAATCACCACTCCTGAAGATGAGTCTCCAAAGGCTATCAAGAGCAGCGAGGGTCACTAGGGAAGTGAGCACAGCTGATAAACACAGCTAGGAAACCACCTGAAATGTTATGTACACTGCATGCAGTACATTGCTTTATGGGACGTGCAGGTACTGGGATCCTCCTATGAAGAAATACCACAGGAAAGGTTAAGTAAAAGCTGCAGCTCAAGCTGAGTTGTGGTGATGGCCAGGCATGTCGTTTAGTTACAAGGAAGTGCACAAAAGATGTCCCTAATTACAGTAAGAACAACCAACAGCAGAGTATCACTTCATCGAGCTGCGTTGCCCAGGCACCTCCACTTCCCTGCACCCTCTCAAGAGCCTCCTCACAACTATTTCTCTCCTAGATCTTGTACCCATAGGCTGTGAGTCAATTCCCACCCTGCCTTTGCTGCAAGTGAAAACAGTCACCCCTGCATAGGGTAGGCCCCCTCCGGCTCCCTTGTGAATGTATGGAGGCCCTCCCAGCTTCTTTCATTGACTCTGAAAGAAAATTTAGCACACGCACCAACTTTAACTAGGGCTGAGATTGCCTTAAAGGTAAAAAACTCACTTGGGGATGGCCACCATCACAATATCTTTCTAGCCATCTCTAGCTCATCTCAGATGGGCAAAAAATCTGAGAGAAAATTGTCACTAGAATATTTTTGCCCTAGAAAAAATAGAAAAACTAGAAGGAATTGGAAAATCCAATATTGTCAAAAAATATGCATGAGTGGTTAAAAAAGGTAAGTGGTAAATACAGACTAAGTTTTAATTCTGCAAATAATTTTTGACAAATCAATTTCATTCTGGACATTTCAGATGAATGGCCACATGTAAGTGAATTTGAACTGGATCTTCAGAGCACAGCTTGTTCATACTATCGTATCTGTAGTAGTATCACTCAAGAATCAAAACAAAGGAGTAACTTCACATCATGTTGCTTTGATCAACAACTACGAAAGCTGTGAGGAAGTGGCACAGGCTTCAGCACTGATAAATAAAGCAAACTGCTGCTTTCATATTTCCTTTGAAAGATAAGACGACTGCGTTCCCCCAAGATGTGACATCGTCTAGTAAGTGACTATTTTCTTGACTTCAGGTGAATAGGTAGACAGTTTAAAACCAAAAAAAAAACCCTTTAACATTTAGAAATATTCAAACTTGAAAGATTTTGTTAGTATCATACATATCCTCCATCCTGATATGCAAAATCGAAGAGAAAGAGCGGGGTTTTTTTCAGACTGTTGAAGATACTGATTTTGCATTCTCGTTTTGTTATTAAATCTTTTCTGATGCCTTGTTATTGCAGTAGTTCTTTGGTTTACACTTGCTAGTTTTTGAAAAAGGTCTTTAGACAAATTTTTTTGATATCTGGAACTCAGAGGGTGTATGTTAATTCTCTCCTTTCCATTTATGCTCTAGAATCTGTTTTTCCAACTGGTATGTGCTTGAAAACCTCTCATCTCTTCCGACAAATATATATATGAGATAATTTCACTTTTTCTGATCACAATCTCAAAACCTTTTGTAATGAAATTGGCTCATTTCTAAGCAAAGCGCATCACATGATGCTGACGAGCATTATTTACCTTTTTCTGTTTAAAGTCTGCATTTACTGTCATGGCAAATTATGCTGTTTATTATTATGTGCTAAAATTACTTTTTATTTAAATTTATTTAAAAACAAGAGTGATCTATATTGGATTTTCTGTCTGGAACCCTGAGACAACAGAAATGGAACAACTGGCAAGATCATTAATACTGCTTTTTACACCCTGCTTTTCAGGTGCAGCTACTAAAGCAGGATAGCTGATCAGTACAACAGAAATTAGACCATGGAGACCAAATGGGGAAAAACCCCTGTAATACTGAGACTACCAGCTCCTGTGATACCCAGTTCCCAGAGCGGTGGAAATGATAAGCAGCCTTTTTCTGGTGACAGGAAGAGAACTATCTATGCTGGGGCAAACGAGAATAGCTTGTTCTGACTCTCCATTACTTGCTTGCATTTCCATTTCATTAATTCGAGAGTTATTTTTAACAGAACCAGACCTCAAAGCAAATCGTGTATTAACACACTGGACACCGCATAGCTCTCTTTAGCTCACTTTTCTACCCGTGATGTTGTTCCTATCCAACTTAAGCTTCTATTAAACTTCTAAATCTTTTCAGAACCTAGACTCAGTCCATACAGACTGTAACAACATTTCCGTGCAAATAAACTCATCCTGCTTGCTATTCTGACCAGGGAGTTTCCTTCCTCCTCCCTCCCTCCCTACCTAACACAATGCTTTCCCACTATCTCACTTCAGGTAGAAAGATTACTACTGTTCTTTCCTTTGAGGAAAGCTGGAATAACTCCATAAACAACTAGTCTGACAAGGCATAACAACTCTGAAGTTTGAGACAGCATACAATGTGGATTCTAACTTAGGTCTGTGAGTAACAAGCAGGATGCTTTAAGAGCTTCTGGCTAGAAAAGTATCAGGTAATATAATAATTATGCATCATGAATAATTGAAAACCTTTTTAAAGGAAATTGCTGAACTTTCTCTCTCTTAAAAGTTACCATCCACTGAGGCGGGGGGGGGGGGGGGGCGTGCAGTGAGAGAAAAGCTTACTGGTCTGTGTGTTAGTGGAGAGGCTGGTCTGCAGAAGGTAAGGATCTCCCCCTATGTTTTTAACTTCCATACCACTTTATACACACTTGCAGCACATTTTCAGTAGCAAAGATTGAAAATATTTGGCAGAGGTGGTCAGCTGATCCAGAAACCATTCAGCCTCATAATACAGGATCAGCCTTTAAGAGAGTCTTCTTGAACAACTCTGAGCTGTAACTTCAGCTTGTCTGGAACACAACAGCTGAGATAAAAAAGTTTTCAGCTTTAGTATCTTATCTTTAGCTCCTTATTGCTCTCCAGCATAAAAAAAAAAAGAAATAAAAGAAGAAAAAGAAAAAGATTTGGGCTAGAAATTTCCACACCTGACTTTGCGTCAAAAATGAGTGTACAGTTCTGATCTATTTTTATGCAGGACTTTTTTCTTTTTTTTTTCCCCAGAGGGGTTGGTAATCAGTCAGGCATTTAAGACTCATTTCTCCTGCCTCCTGCCCAAGAAGGAACTTAAATGGCTATATTCAGACAGGAGAAAGAAGGAAAAGAAAGAAAACTTAAGGAAAAAGATTTGGGCTAGAAATTTCCACACCTGACTTTGCGTCAAAAATGAGTGTACAGTTCTGCAAGGTTAATCTATTTTTATGCATGCAGGACTTTTTTCTTTTTTTTTTTTTTCCCCAGAGGGGTTGGTAATCAGTCAGGCATTTAAGACTCATTTCTCCTGCTGTCAAACCAAGAAGGAACTTAAATGGCTATATTCAGACAGGAGAAAGAAGGAAAAGAAAGAAAACTTAAGGCGTTTAAGATCACAAGAACATAACATGAAAATAAATTTCTAGAGCATCAGTTGAAAGGTCACATTCAAGGACTCCCATTAATCCTTTGCTATCTGTTTGATGGTGTCAGTCACCTCACCTCTTTCCTAAAACATGATCCATAAATTCTGAGTTTTAGGAGCCCAGCTAACTGAGAAATGTAAAGTGCGTGACATGTTAAAAAACATTTTTAATTTAGAAAGATCTCTTCTGCAGCATTCTGTTCTCCATCGATATGTAGATCTGCTTATGTCAGCATGTGGGGGAGACAAGAATATCGGAAGCCAGTGCCTGCTATTTGTATATAAGAAAATTCTTCACGGAATTATCCTAGCCTGGCTTCCATATGAAATCCTTAGTAAAACTCCCATCTGCTTTCACCAAAAACAAATTACGGTATTACTGCCTGAATTTGAAAATTCCTGTGAAGAACATTCATGTATAGGAAAAAAGTCAGTTAAAATTTTAAATATTTCGGTCTGTCCAGAGAGCGAATGCTGTATCTTACTATAGAAAAAAAACTATTATGGATTAAAAGCCAGTATTAAAAATTCTTCTTTCAAAAGAGTCAATAAGACTCTCCTAAAGGCTAATTTCCAGTAAGCTTGGACACCAGAAAGATCTGTACTACTTTAGTAAGGCTACTAACGGAATGTTACATTTTCAAACTACAAAACTGAGTGCCTGGTAATTACTTTGTTTCAGCTTAGAGGAAAACACCTTTCCTTTACAAGAAAGAGGCAAGAAACACCAGCTGACTGCTGTTGCAAAGAGTACGTAAAATAAAACACAATGCTTCCATTTGTTTCAGTATACATTGCCTTGATGTTGTTGAGCCTAACTTACTTTTGCAGGTGATCTTCATCCCCTGCTTGGCCTCCATCTGAATTGAAAAGTAAAGTATTTTCTAAAGAGCCAGTAACTTTTCAAAAGGGCACACAGTTTTATAGTACTTCTCTGGTGACTAACAAACTGCACGGGCTCTGCTTCTTGGCCCCACAGAAACTACTTTTTCAGGTAATGTTTAATCTGCTGCATGTTATAACTCACACAGGCGAGGCCTTTCTGCCAATCTAAATGATTCAGAGGCAAATTCTGCTAATCTTACGCTGAGTAATATCTTGCAGTAGGATTAGTCCCATAGAAACATGCTCTTTGCAGCTCAAGAGAGAGGACATTTAACCTTAAGCTAAATCTTTGAAAACCCCATTAACCTGTCTCACAAAAGACTTTATTTACAAGGTAAACAGCTTGCAAACCTGGTTGCTGCTGTTACTCTTATGTGCTGCCTCTTGCCTTGGAGAGCTGGCACTGTGATACTGCACCAGCTCTGGGGAGGGGGTGTGATGGGGGGGGCCACTCCTCTGACAGTAATACAAATGTTTGAAACAGATCAACTAAAATCAAGCGGGGAAGAGACATTAATGAAAACCCTCCATGTTTCCAGTAAGTCACTTGAGAAGGGGAAAGGAAGAAGTGCCGCCATCTGATGATGTAACTAACATCTAAACAATGAGCTAAGGCTGAACCACAAGCTCTAAAGCACTCACTCACTGAGACTCAAACCCTACTTTTCGAGACAGGTCCAACCCAAGCCAAATGACTCTGACGCTTAGAGCCTGCAACCTGAACCTACAGGCTGAATTTGGCAAAACAAACTCTGTTTCTCTCATGGGTTACTCCAGAATCCCTTGATCCAAACACTAAACCACTGATGTATTTGAAAGCTTAATCCACATTCTGTTTTCAGAAGCCTCTGTAATTGTTTTGTTTATCTTTTGAGTCACCATCAGTATAAATCTGGTAACAGATGATGTGTTTAAATCCACCAGCTGTTGTGTTTGGGTCTTGACGGTCAAGACAACCCTCTTCAGCAAATAAATATATTTGCTTTTGTCTGTCATGGATGTTTTACTACAGCTCTTAGCTGTTAGCACTTAGGATTTTGTCTGTCTCCTGGATGTATTAGGATTTAATTATTTGCTGAGTAAAAACATCTCAATGTGTCTCCTTACAGGCTGCCTTTAAAAAGAAGGCAACATGGCAACTACAGATACTAACTTTTATTATAACTTCTCCATCACTGATCCCAACGAAAACGAAAGTGAGAATTTTCACACATTTACAAGAGTCTTCCTGCCCTGTACGTACTTGGTTGTTTTCATCCTTGGGCTAGCAGGAAACGTGCTGGTCTTTGTCATATTAGTTTTCTATGAGAAACTGAAGACACTGACAGATATATTTTTGCTGAACTTGGCTATAGCTGACTGGGTCTTCCTTTGGACGCTGCCATTCTGGGCATATTCTGCTGCTCAAGAGTGGACTTTTGGCACCGTGGCGTGTCGTATTATACGGGGCTTGTATACTCTGAACTTGTACACCTCAATGTTAACTCTAACGTCTATCACCTTTGACCGGCTTATTGCTATTACTTTTGCCACCAAAGCACGTATGTGTCAAACCAAACGAATGACATGGGGCAAATTAATCTGTGTCTTGATCTGGGTGGTCTCACTAGCATTTGCCACGCCACAGTTTATTTTTAGTGAGGTGTTTAGTATTGATAAGGCAATATGTCAGGAAGAATACCCAAACCATCACACAGAACTGGTTCTTGAAGTGATCCGAGTGACCCTTGGCTATTTTATTCCCATGCTAGCCATGATCATCTGCTACTCACTAATTATTAGAACCTTACTGCACGCCAAGAGTTTTCAAAAGAACAAATCTCTAAAAAAAATATTTTCTGTAGTTGCTATATTTATTCTTACTCAGTCACCCTATACTTTCTTGAGACTGATAAAGATCATAGACTGGAGCTTTAACTTGAACAGCAGCTTTGAATATGCAATCATCGTAACAGAAGCTCTTGCTTATTTCCATGGCTGTATTAACCCTGTTCTGTATTTCTTCATGGGGGTGAAATTCAGGAGGAACTTACAGAAAATTATTAAAAACTCAAGATGCGTCAAATGGCAAGTTACAGCTAAACAGTGGCAAACCACTGAAGAGGAAGGCTCTAAAACTTTTACTGCCTCAAATAATGCAGATGCAACAAGTATGTACCCGCTATAAAACTGCCTAGAAAATCTGGCAACCATTTACAGCTGCCTTTTTTTTTTTTTTGGTAAATACTGAGATAGATAGCCTGCATGAAAGAAGAAATACAATCCCATTAGTAAAGACATTGTGATCGACTTTAGGCCAACCTATCTTAATCATCATATTTCAGCATTTCCTGCTTTTCCTGGTCAGAGCTGATCCTAAGACAAAGCTGGTGACTGAGTTAACTGTGCAGAAGATCTTCAAAAGGTATAAGAAACAATGAGATAAAACTCCATTCTTCATGACATAAAGCTAACTTGGACTTCATGTCTCCAGAGGGGCTGGAGACATTCACCAAACCTCTGGCCTGCTGGTTTTTTATGAAAGGTGTTTGTTATCAAAAGCATTTATGAGTTTTGTTTCAAAGATATTACAGATTTTAGTTCAGCTTATTAATTTCATGAGAATTCCTGCATTAAAAACATATATATTTCAATCTTAATGCTGGGTTTCATGAGTGTTGCTTGAGGTTTTTTTGTGGGTTTTTTGTATTTTTCCATTTGGGAGAAGGCCTCCACACACACTCCTTCAGTGGTCATCTAAAATTTCTGTAATAAAGCAGCATTTTCATCTGCCTTCCATCTAATATCAGGTTCATGGTCTGAATCTCCCATACACATCTTTGTATCTTACTTCTGATAACAGAGCTCATGTTGCCAGATGACTAGACCCCCTGTCAACACAAGGGATATCATACCGCACATAGGCTCTAACACTGAGCAGTGTTTCCTTAGACACAAACTCTCACACCCTAATTCCCACACATTCTTTGCAGCATGACATCTTTCCAGTCTGTTTTTCCTGGCATGCCCTTGGCATCCTGGTTCCCTAGCCATGAAACTGTGGAGTCCTTAGTTGTTCTCCTTCCTTGTTCCTACAGTCCCTCCTTTCCACCTCTGGCGTGGGAGGCAAAAAGGTACACAGGGGGCAGTGCAGACTGAGGCAGAAAGTATGCAAAAGCTCTTGCAGGGAGTAGCAGAACAGGGGTGGAGACTGGAATAGGGAAAAGAAAGAAGGGGTGTTGGAGAGGAGCAGAGGGAGGGCTTTATGCAGCTGTGGGCTGCCTATGATGAAGGCAGGGTTGGGTCCGGCCCAAAGGGTGAAAGTTCTTTGCATTACAGCTTTGAAAAACCAGTTTTAACCTGTTTCAAACCATTCTTGCAATAGCCACGCTCACTCAGGATGTTCCTTTTCTTCCCATTAACCAGATCACTGCAGCTGATAAGTGGTACCTGACCCTTATCAGCACTATTGTGTCCATGTCACCTTTTTCCCCTTGGAAAACAGCTGCTTAGTCAATCCTTGCCTTACTACACAATCTCTCTTGTTTCTCCCATAGTGAAATGGTGCAATATCCTTAAAACAGGAAGGAACGTGCTGTGCTTTCACGTCTGCGTGGCAAGTAAAGCTGCTATCCCAACACACAGCTGCAAGGCAGGCTTTGCCAGCAGAGGGTGGCGAGAGGTGCTCCTGTCCCCACTCCTCCCCCCGGCTGCTTCTGCGCAGGGCAGCGAATGCTTCAGACCACATGCAGTTCCCCCTTTTGGCTACACTGGCACCCTGCCTGGCCATGTGAGGTGTAATTAGGTCAGAAAAGAGTGTTACGAGTCATTAAGAAAAAAAGAATCCAAACCAAAGCAACCACAGTGCAGACAGGCTGAGATGTCCTTTCTACCAAAAGCAGTACTGAGGTGTGAATAAACTCTTTGTTTCCGTACCAGGGTAGAGGCAATTTTTTTTTTTTTTTTTCACACTTCTGCCATCTATGATCTTGATTCTGCTGCTGCAACATTTATTGCAGGCATGTAATTTCTACAATATGTTAAAATGGAAACACAATGCACTGGTTTACCCTGGGGACTTTGACCCGGTGCTAGACAATATCCTGACCTTTGTTTTAGAATACAATCTGCAAATGTGAATGCTTTAGAAATAAAAGAGTTTAAAAATACAACACTTCAAAAGAGAACCCATGAGCCTTTAAGTAGCAGGATGTACCGCAATTGCACAACTCATCTCAGCTTCTCACATTAAGATTTCAATCGGGTTGCTCTAAACTTACCTAACAGACCTGAAAGCATGAAGTGATTACTGCTTAATCTTAACCTTTAGGAAAGAGCTGCTTCAAGGTCAGCCAGAGTTATGCTGGTGCAGCATCTATCTTACCTTGCCACACACCTGTGCAGCTCATGACCAAGATGAGTTTTATTGGGTTCTCAACTGACCTGTACCAATAAAGGCAGTCTCTCAAAATTTGCTGTTATGAAGTAATGCCATTGTAATCATTTCATGTCACTTCAAGGAAAGAACTACAGGGGCAGGGTTAAGTGAACAAGTGAAAAATAGACTAACAGTAGAGTAGACACTAAAGGGGGACAAATAGAAAAGAAAACGTCCTTAAGATAATTCACTGCTTTGAGCACAAACTCGCATTTCTAGTCCAGCAAGGACTCACACCCAGAATAAGGTAAGGTCAGTGTGAAAATCTCAGCCAGACACTCAGCCAGAGTAAGGCTGTAAGAAACTATGTCAACAGAGCATACCTATCACAGATCTTCTCTCTGTCTATTTAGACCACCCAGCCTCCCTTCTCTTCCCTCTCTTGGCTGCTCGTCTCCCTCCCTTTTAGAGCTGCACCAATTAGTTCAAATCTCTGGCAAAAAAACAAATAGCTTGGACTATTTTCAGCAGAATCCCAATAAAGAAGTCTGGCCTGAGAACTTACTTATTTGTATGCATTCCTCAGACATACATCTAGCAAGCACAATCTTGGATCCTTTGTGTCTTCCCTAGGCACAATATCAAAGCAAATTCTACCCCATATATTCAATTTCATGCAAAGAGAACATTATTGGGATGCCAGTGGATTGTTATTTGTACTTCAAGGCTACCTGAAGTCTCCACATAGAAATCAGGCCACATTTAGCTGGACGCTTTCAAAAAAAAAGATCAAAGGTCTATATGAAGTCAAGGTGGTCCACCAGTCCAGTATGGCCAAGAAATCTGCAGCAGTGAAACCAGTAGCTCAGAAAGTCCCTGAACTGCAGATCCCTGGAAGGTGGGAGAAAACACACCGGGAAATTATCAGTACATCTGCTATGGGCTGCTGTCAAAGACAGGACAGAGGGTTAGCGGAACCTTTGCTCATATTCATATAGGGAATATATATATATAGTGGTTCTGGCATGTTTACCCTCAAACACCCATGGTATCAAATGCTGCATTATCTGCTCGTCTGCTAAGCTACACTCAGGTTTTGGGTAAACATATACTCCTCACCACAGAAACAAGTGAGAAAACTTCTGTGCTGTAATAATCAACACTGTGCTCTGCTTTTTTTCTTCAACACATACCACAGGTGCCACACCATCGTCTGACTCATGTATCAGCTTCTGCATCTCTCCCATAACACAAACCACACAATCAACACAAGATGTTCAAGTCATCCACAGTGTAAGAAGGCCATTCTCCCGCATTCTCCTCCAGTGTTCAGGCTAGTGAGACCTTTCAAACATTTTGTCATGGAGAAGGGCAGGTGTGGTCTGTGTTCTCTGCAAAGTATGTCTCAAGCTCCCAGTATGACCACAGTAGGACTCTCCCCCAGCTTGTAACACTAATGAACCAAGAGCAAGAGAGGATAAAACTATTTCCTGGCTTTCCTGCCTATTATCTACGAACAAGGGGAGATGGACAGATAAAAGTTTACATGGTGCAAGTAGGATGTTGCATGGGCGCCCTTCAAGAATTGTGTTCCAGCGTTAGTGGCAATCCTTCCTTCCAGTCTGAATACTTTGTGGGACAAGAGGAATCTAGCCCAATCCCAAACTGAAAAAAAAGGTGACACACACTTATTTCTTTTCTCCTGGTTGGATTCTCCAGAGCTAACTCACTGTAATATCTCTTCTGCAGCAGACAGCATGAATTCAAAGTAGTAGTACATTACACTTTTTTCCTTCTTAAAAGAAACAAACAAACAAACAAACAAAAATCCCCCACTGCAAATTGTCCCTTTGCAAAACAAAGGCAGTACTAACTTCACAAGAGCATTGTGAAGCTCAGTTCGTTCATGTCTGCCCAACGCATGATAAACATGAATATACTGTCAGTGTCAACAGTATACAAAATAGGCAGAATACATAGAACTTATTTACCAAGAAACAAAAATGTAGAATTTTGAAAAGTTTTTCTTCCAAATAAACAAGTCTGTACAGTCTACCTTCTACCCAAATTGCAAATCACTGCGGTTTATGCCGGAAACAGATCTGCTGAGGACAAAAGAGCCTAGGTCTGCTTTCTCAGCAGCAGGCTGGTTACTCTGTGGCTATTTTAAGTCTTGCATTTAGATTTATCATGCTGATTTTTCTGCTCAGAAGCAAAACAAGTACAGAATTTAGGTGAAATTGCTTTTTTTTTTCCTTCTCAAATATATAAAAGTTTTTGAGAGATAATATATTTCACAGAACAGAATTTTTGGCAAATATTTGAAAATATTTGAATGATAGTAAAACAATATTTTGTATAAACATGGATATACATTAAACTATAATACTACAACATAATTTGCAAACCAAGTACTCGGATATTAAGATGGCCTTAGATCCTCTTCATTGCTAATTTATGTAGAAATAGATGTAAAAAAATGACTGAAACCTGCATTCACTCTCATTTTCTTAAGAAAAAAAGAACAAACTTGTGCCAGATTTAGCTACGCAACTCCTTTTTCTTTTCTGTAAGCTATTATCTTTAAAGTAGTAAGGAATCCTACAGACACAGACCAGTTAATTCACATTCAGAAGCCTGTTGTAAAAAGAACAAATCTTTCCTTGTCTTTTCCCCACCCCCTTGTTCTCTTGATATTAAGTAATGGTGAGTATGACAGAGAGTATCGCTTAGCTCCTACTATAAGTTAAGTATGAATGACCAGTGATCCAGTGTGGCCTGCAAGCTGATTTTAATGGTGACAGCTGGCC